TTAAATTCGGGGGAGTGGGGCTCTGGGACCCACTCTTGCCAGCAGTTATGCAGCCCCCCCAAAAACAATCCAATTCCCTGGGGAGCGGAAAGCTCTTCCCCTCACATCAGCAAGGCTACAGTACAAACCAGAGAACATAAGTCCTTGGTCTGGCATGTGCCAGAGAGATGGGTGCCCCGATCCTTGCTCTGCCAGGTCCTGTAGGACCACAGCTGCCCATCCTGGAGCTCCCTCCCTGCACCATCAGCACACGAGGGGCGAAACCAACAAGACAAGAACAGTTCAAAGGAAAAGCAAAGCACTAACACCTCCCCAGCAGCTGGCAAACACCACTCTAACACACCACTTCCATTCTCCATCCATCTAACCTGCACACCGCTACATCTAAGGTGCCTGGGATATCCCAAAAGTAAAGGTACAATTTCACCAGCTTTTCTGAGCAAGTTTGGGGTAAAAATGCATCAAAACCTTCCCACACAAGTACAGGGCAGATTTCCTGAAAAAGCCTCAAATCCTTCCACCAGGTAGCTTAACGGGATATTTCTTTCTAATATTGCTGTTGGCTTCTCTGTAGTAGTAAGCAAGTCCAGCTTTGCTGCTGCTCAGTCGACAAGCTGCAAGCCCATGGTTGAGGTAACAGAGAGGTGACTCAGGGGGGTGTCCCCCATGCATTGGGTCTCAGCATGGCAACGCAGCAATTGTCTCTGGCCATGCTCCCCACGTACTGGAGCAGGGGTGGGACAAGGCAATCCAAGAGCAGAAAAGGTTTGAAGGAAGAAAAGCACTTAGTAGATTCTCTCTCTAGTTTCTCAGATCGATGTATTTCTCGCTCTTCAGTCCACCAAAACAGAAAGAGGGAGGAAAAAAAAACAAAAGCAGTTAGGGGTGAACATAAAACCAGGTCCTCCACTGTAGGTGTCTGCATGACACACTGCAGTGTGACGGGGGAAAACCGCTGGCCCAGGCTACTCCGTAGCAGCTGAGCATCTACACCAGGGCAAGGGTGAGCACAAGCTGCACCAGCAGCAGGACCAGGGTGGGCTTATATCTTGGCCTAGGGCAGATAAAACTGCAGCGGGCTCAAGCGCCGCATCCTGTGGCACACCCTGCCTTAGCATGGTGACGGTCTGGCACCACCACTGAATAGGTGCACGGCTCTCGAGCCCAAGTGAGAGGTAAGCACACGGCTCAGGAGACTCATCTCATGCTCTGCTGAGAGTTTTGGCTCAGAGACGCCAGGGCAGGGCCCATTCCTGCAGCCTCCGCTCTGACTCCTGGCCAGAGATGTTTCTCCTGGAGCCCCATGGGGAGCCTGGCTCCTGCTCCAGGGAGCAGGGAAGGAGGCAGAGCCAAGCAGGCCAGGCAGCGGCAGTGTGCTCCCGGGAGGTGCCAGAGGCTGGCACGGAGCAGGGCTGCACATGCGCAGCACAGGGCTGCTCCCTCATCCTTGGAGCGGAGAGCCGTGGCTTTGTCACCTCCTCTCCCTCCCCCGGCCCCTCTCGAGCGCTGATGATGGATGATGGAGGCCCATGCAGGGAGGGGAGTGCTGGGAGAGGAGCAAAGCATTACCTCGATGCAGCCCCGTACACTCCTCACCTCCACTCCCAGCCCTGGCATCAGCCCTGGCCCTGGGGAAGGGCAGCGCACGACGTTCTGTCCTACCTGGTCAGCGGCAGGGGGCTTTTCGGCGCTGGGCACCCTCAGGAGCCCCCCCAGTTTTTCTGACTTAACGTCAACTACAATCTTGTCTTTACGTGCCTCTGGCTTTGTGCTAGGGGAGGGAGGTGACAATTTTGAGACATGTTTGCAATACCAAGGAGGGCACGTGGCTGGTTGAGCGAGGCCAAGCCCCGGGGCTCCATCTCAGAGGATGCTCTGGCCGGGGGTCAGGGCAGAGGAAGGCCAGGGGTGAAAGAGGTTCTGGCTCAGAGAAAGCTTTGGGCTGCCCAGCCCCTCCCTGGGGAGGAGTCCCTTGGCTGCTCTACCGCTCTGCTGTCCTCATCGCCTCCCTGCACGGACGGGGCAAGCCATGCGGACCCCAGGCTGTGGGAAGCTGGAAGCGCTGCTGAGACCCCAGCGCCATGCCCCCCAGGCTGCACTACTGCCTCCCTCCACGCTGGGCAGGGAGCGGCTGGCGCAATGAGATGGGAAGCATGAGTGATGGCAAGCACCTCTGGCCCCAAGGGCTCCCTGGGAGGGCGGGTGGGCAGGCGGCAGTGCTTACATGTCCTGTTTCCCAGCGCGGCCACAGGGGATCTTGCCTTTCTTGTGCAGGAAGTAGATGACAGACCCCAGCACAGCCACCACGAGGATGCAGACGATGATCGCCACAATAATCACCCCTTTGCTCTCTGGTGTCTTTTGATCTAAACACAACAGGAGAGGAAGAATTTAATGCCTGTCCTACTCCGATGCTCTCCAGCTTCTGCACTACCACACCCACTTGGGAGCAAGGAAGGGACCCCTAGCCCCCAGAAATCACTATGGGGACTCCAGTTCCTGGTGCTTCTTCAGCTCCCTGCAGGATGGAGATGTCAGTACAAAAAACACACTCTCAGGGCAGTTTCCGTATGAATGCACTTTGCATTCTGCTCCCAGCTGCCATGCCCCTGCACGCCACAGGATGGCTTCCAGGGTTTCTTGCAAGACATCAGCCCATCCCTCTGCTTCCCTGCCCAGTGGCCCTGGGCTGCAGGAAGCTGCACTTGATGGTCTTGCTGGGCTACAGGCTGAGGAGAAGCAGGCAGCGTTCACACTGCTGCAGAAACAGGTGGAGACAGAGCCCCCGTTCCCTCATGGCTTGGCAGGGAGAGAGGAGCAGCGAGACGCAGTGCAAGAGCCCGCAGCCAAGGCTCCCACCCCAGACCAGAGGCGAGCGTGACTCCTGCGGCTGGCATGCTCCCGCCAGAGCCCGGGCTGACGACGCACACGCGCCCAGCGCTGCGGAGACTGACCTTTTCTGATGGACTCCACTGGGAGAGCAGGAAGGGAGGGAAAGACACAGAGCTCAGCTGTGCCACGGCAGCAGGGCACACACGGTGCCTGCACGAGGGGGACTGATACTTCTCCAAGCTCCTGGGGCAGAGGTCAGTGCCCGCGACTCACCCAGCAGCTGGATGTGCTTCTCGCTGACACCCAGCGCGTTGGAGACCCTGCACATGGCTCCTGCCCGCAGCAGGTCGTGGTTCACACGCACCGTCAGGTTGCTGGTGATGTGCTGATTTTCAACGTACTCGTGAGCCTGCGAGGGGAAAAGGCAGCAAAAGGATTCAGCGCCCGAGGCAATGCACAGCCCCTCCAAGAGACCATGGCCCTCCCCAGCTCTCACCGTCCCATTGACGTTCCAGTGGACAGACGGCCAGGGGAAAGCGATGGCCTTGCAGGTCAGGTTCACCACCTCATCCTGCCGCACGTACAGCGGGGAGCTGATTTTTTTTCTTCCCTGCGGGGAGGGCACATCAAGCACCCGTAGCTCTTGGGGGAGAGCAGGGCCAACGCTGGGTGGCACGGAGCTTGCCCTGGCAGGGTGGCATGCCCGCACACACACCGACCGGTTCTTACCCTGAACATCCACGGCCACCTGCTTGCTCTGCTCCAGCCCCGGCACGCTTGGTGCCATCACCTTGCAGCTGAAGCTGTTGGAGGTTTCAAAGGTGAGGTTGCTCAGGAAGAGCTGGTTCCCTTCCGCAACCTTCCTGCCCTGTTGGGAAGGGATACCCTCTGGCAACGAGCCCCAAGCACCAGGCCCTTCTCCACCAGTTCCCCAGGTCCTGCCGCTGTCCCGGAGGGGCTCAGCCCTCCCTCCCACGCCCAGCGAGGGAGCCTGCAACCACCCGACCTCCTTCCATGCTAGCCAGGAGGTGAAGAGGGAGAGGAGGTCAACGCCCACAGAGGGTAGAATCCCACTCCCGGCCTCTCTGAGGAGAAACAGGGCAAGCTCCTGGCTCTGCCCAGTTTGCTGCAAAGCCCAGGCTTGCCAAGGCTGAGCACAACAGTACCCGAATGGCTGCTCACCTTCTCATCCCTCCACTGGTAGTCCAGGGCCACGGGGCTGTGGGCACTGCAGCTCAGCCTCACGCTGTCCCCTTCCTGAATGGGTGAGGACGGCTCCATCTTCACATGGACCCCTTCAATGTCTGGGAGAGGGGTGGAGACCAGGGCAGGGTGAGCAGGAGGGACGAGGCACTCACCGCAAGGTCCACAGGGTCCCGTCCCCCTGCCTTACAGTTCACAACAAGCTCCACATCCTTCTCGAGCTGTCTCATATCATCCAAGTCCAGGGTCTGGCATCTGTACAGGCCACTGCTGCTCTTATTCACATCATGCAGGTGCAGCACCCCACTGTTGCTGTCTGCCAGCGATGACAGGTCCTGCCAGCTGTCCTCCAGCTGTGGGCAGTGGGGAGAAAGCAGAGCCCTTAGCCCCGCAGGCACCCTCCATCCCAGCTGCTGCAGCCCACTCCCCAAGGTCCTCCGGGCAGGGGACACGGAGCAGCCCAGGACACTGCTAAAGGAGAGGTGCCCAGGTCCCCTCCAGCCTCACCTCTCTTATAGACCCTGGGAGCACCCCCTGGCCCACAGCCTCATATGAAACATGGAACATCATCCCATAAATTGTGATACTCTGTGCAATGCAACATACAGAGCATGTCACACTAGAGTAGTCAATATTTTACATAACATGTCCTATAAAGTATTATAATGTATGATACTAAATGTACACTGTAATAAAACAATATTATACAACATTATAAAAACATTCTTACTTTCTTTTACATATAACATGTCATCTGATATGTTTAGACATACATAATATGGTATGTACATGTAATATATTGCATGCCACCACAAGCTGGGATGTCCTTGCCTCGATCGAGTCATTCACAGCCCCATCTGACCCAACCTGGACCCTTTCCCAGGGACATGATGTTCACCGACTCTCCAGGAGATCCATTCTGGAGTTCTGCCACCCTTCTCCTTTCTTCCTTGTATCTAGGCTGATTCTGCCCTCTTTCCAATTTACACCAGGACCCCTTGTCCTATCACACCAGCCCCTGCTAAAAAGCCTCCTCCCCCTTGAGGACCACTCAAAATAGCACCAACCAGAGACACCACCCGACTCCCTGGCACCTGTGCCACTGCTCTCCTTTGACGGTGTCACCCACCTGGGAACGTACCCACAGTATCACCCTGAGGCCACATTTTCCTGGCCCCAAATGTCACAGTGTCCTTCGCCCAACAGAGAGGGACCGCTACCAGCTCAAAGGGTAGTCCCAACCCAAACCCTCCCGCACAAGGGAGTACAGAGCCAGCACGCCTCGGTACTGCAGACCCGCCACATCCCCACACTTCTTGGTACTTGTGGACTGGGCTGGTGTCTAGGGAGGAGGCAGAATGGGGTCCGGGAATGGTTCACCGGCCTGGCTGCCGAGACCCTGACTGCCCAGCCATGCTAGATTCCACCAACTATGGTGTGCACGATGCCTGGCCTCGTTAATTACCTTGCCCCAGTAAGACACGCGGCAATGCAACACCCTACCGTCCTGCCTCAGCACCCTACAAACACCTCGTTCCCACCCAGCTAACGAGCC